CTGGCTTAATGAAGATTTATGTTTGATTTTTAAAATTTTTAGTTTTGAAAACACTCGTTCTCACTTAACTTGTGTGCATGGAAGTATAAGAACATATCAGTGTATTGAATAAGCCCGTTTTAGTTGTAAGTCTAAAAAGAATTTGAAATATTTTTGGTAAATAGTTATTACAACTTTGTTCAATGCTTACATATTGATTATAGTTGTACCCGATTTGAATTTTAAACACATGCTTATTTTTTATTACGTTTACAATTGGCTATGGGCCCCTAATATTGAAAAATATCGAAGGGCTCCCGGCGATCGCCGGGTAGCCCTGTGGGCCAGACTGATACTGGGTATCTACTTTTATACTTAGTATACTATATACTTTTATAGTATAGTACACTATAATACTTTATTGTGTAACTTCAGTTATAATAAAATACATAAAAAATGATTGTAGATTTACACTCAACTTTGAATTTTTTTTAATTATCTCTAACAAAAAGTGGAACCATGTATTAAAATTTTAAGTTTTTATACTGAACAAAAATTAGCTATGGACAGTAATAATTTWAAAAAAAATAATTAAGATTAAAATTTTCTTAAGCTTGAAATTGAATAAAGAGTTGAAATATTTTGAAGATGTTATCTAGTGTATGGAAGATTATTAAAAACATTTGGTATAAACTATAAATTCCAAATTGGTATCTACAGTTATTGGTCTTTGATTACCTACAAAAATCATAAAATCTTACCATGAGAAATCGAGTGAATATCTTTAATGTTGTAAAATTTGAACTTTAAACACTCAAAAAAATTTAATTTGACTTTCATAATAGACATTTTTTTCTTAGTTAAAGGCAGACAAATTCATGAGRAATCTTGTATTAAGTTTTAAAATCTTACAACTAAAAAGAATATTTTTATCAACTTCTAACTAAATAATTTACAAATATTCGTGATTTTGACAAATATTGATTGTTTGCCCAGAATGTATGCATAGCTCAAAAACCATCTATATATATCATCATGTAAAGAAAATAGTGATACAAACTTTTGGGGAAAAGTTTAAGTAGGTATTGAAGCCGTATGGTAATTGATTTTTGAGTTACATTAAAAAGCTCAAATATCTAATTTGTCATAAACTGATTCTGTGCAAAAATTACAATTTTTCATTCATTTGTTTTTTTTTTGTTTTCCAGTTTCCTCAATATTTTTAAAAACAAATGTAAATTTTTTATCAACTTTACATTTTTTTACCTCTAAAAAATCCAGATTTACTCCCCCCAGAAATGATATTGACTTTCAAAATTGAAGCATTATTTCAACTACTTATCGAGTACACATAAAAATATATTGTAAAATCAATAGATTTTTCAATCCTTTTAGAATCTATATTKTGTATTGTACTGTTTTTAGATTTTTTGGTTACAATATGAACTACTTATGAGATACTTTGTTTTAAATATTCAATCTTTATTCATTAGAATTAAACATTTTATTAATTTTTTAAATTTTCTAAAAAGTTGAACAAAATATTTAAAATTTTGCGTATGTAGTATGTATCATTAATGTTTTAGAATTACTATTATAAAAATGTAATAAGAACTTTTAAATAAAGTTAAAGATCTTTTTATCCAATGTAAAAAAGCGTTATGGGTATTTTTTGAAAAAATTAAAAATTAATATGAAAAACTAATTTGACTTTTCAATAAATTATTATTTTTTTGTGAAAGGAGAATTTTTTTAATTTGTTATACTTAAGAATTGAAATCTTTGAGGGCTTAAGTCCCCCACAACAATTTGTGTCTATATAGATACCTATGGATAGTAGGTATGTACTATAAATTAATCAATAAGATAAATATCCTATAAGACGAACGACAAACGACAGACAACTAACAAAATATTTTATATTACTAATCAATGACAAGTACTAGATAATAAAAGTAAATCATGATTAAGATTAAAAAATACTAAATACATATTTGGTTTAAAACTCTGTATTATTAATAATTATTATGAACTTTACAAAGAAAAAGACACGAGTACTAATATATAGTATAGTAGTATACATATATATATAATGAAAAGTTCTGTAAAAATAGTAAAATTGTACAAAATTAATACATAAAAAAAGATTATAATTAGCATTATATTATGTTAAAATTGTTAAATAACAATATAAATTAGTTGTATTATGTTTTTATTACAAATTAAATGTTGTAATTAGGAGTACAAAAATAATTGAAATAAACAAGATACTTAATAATAACAACCAAAAGAATAAATTACAAATTATAAAGCAACATTCTCATATAAACTATGTAAAACACTAGTAAAGAAAAAAAAATGTAAAAACAACAAACTRTTATAAATGAAAATAATCAAGTACCTTAAAATGTCATAGTTAACTAAAATTGACTAATTTCCACAGAGATGAATCATCATGTTGGAAATTTTCAAATAATATTTGGTTGGTGACTAGAAGATTTTCTATTTGTTGAGAAGTAATATTCTTATCAATGTTTTTGATATAGTTAACAATACTTTCAACACTTATTCCAAAAGGATGAATATTCAAATATATTGCAATATGACCTGTATATGATAAAATACATTTTGAATAAAAATAACCATACAGCCAAACATATTATTCGGAATGGGTCGAACCTAAGTTTTCAGAAACTAAAACTAATTCAATTTGGGATTAAAAATTTAAAAATATAATAGTAAGTATTCACATTAAGAAAAAAAAAATTAGAATTAATTTGCATCATAGTCGACTATTTAAAACTTGATTATGCTGTTTGAATTTCTAATAGTTCAAGGTATTTTGAGTATTTATTAAGCCTCTAATGATTGTATAAAAATTTGTATTAGTTGCATATTGATTATAACAACAACACATCATTTAATTAATATTTTGTAAAGGTATTTATTTTCATCAAATGAACTTCAGCGTTTGATTTATAATTAACAAAACATTATATGCTATTCAAGTTAAGAACCATTTTTGGAGGCCAACTTAAATAGTATGAATTTATAAAACATAGCAGRTGTACCAAGTTCAAATGATTGACTGTYGTTACATAACCACTGCCTAAAAACTATTCGCATTCAAATGAGTTTCTCAACTTGATAAAATGTAATTTAGTTTTAGGAACACAAAATATAGATTATTGACAATATTTTTTTTGCAAAATAAAATTTGTACCAACCAAGTAATTTTATTTGATGATCAGAAAAATGATTTGATCCAATGTTCGTTTCTTTTATTTTRTTGCTTGGTGTTAGCTGGTCATCAATTGAACTTGAATTGGATTTTTGAGCATCAGAACATTTTTCAGTAAGAACATTCAATTCCTATTAAATAATTGTTTTATAAGTTAATGTTATAACTATTTAAATATTATTTTGAAAAAGGTGTAAGTTTATAAAAAAAGATTTTTATTCAATCTTTGAATTAAATACTAAATGATATGAATAACTAATTAGTAATTATGAATGAAAAAATATTGAACTGGGAAAAAAATATCCAGAGAACGATAGATATAAAAAATCTAAGAAAAAAAAAATTATGATAATAAAACATGATATATAATTACTTGTCTAGTAGATAATAACTGTTGTTGTAAATAATTTATTTGTATATCTTTTTGGTCGGAAGTTTGTAAACTAGCTTTCATCATTCCTATTTCATTTTTATAAGCTTCCAGTTCACATTTAAGGTGATCATTTTCATCCTACCACAAAATGATATAGGTACATGTAATGTCATGAATAGTAAGTAATTAAGTATGAATAATTTATAGACATATAAAATGGTTTATGATAAAATTCCAATAACCTGTAACTGTATAGGATCAGTTTTTGTTTTTGTCTTTTTCAAATTGCTTTCATCGTCAGATAAATCCATTTCGTCTCCACCAATCATTTCATCTTCATCATCAATACCCAATTTGGATAGAGCCTAAATATTTTAAATCATTAATTAAAACAAAAAAATACTAAATATAAAAAAAAAAAAATCAATGGTTTGTAAATATATACTTTTTTGTAGCAGGTACATTACAAATTTGTAGGTAAACATATATATTACGCTTGATCCCTAATTTTCACATCAATCATAAAAAACTCAAGGTAAACAAATAAAATATAACACCTACCTAAATTATTTGGTACAATACAAATTCCTGTTAATTATATTCATAAAATATTACAGCACACAGTTGATATCATCATGCAAATGAAAAATGGCTTTTATTTTATATTAATATGCATTAATATGAATTATAACCATCAAAATAATAATGTAAATACTTGTAAATGTTAAGCAATAACTTTTATGAATAAGCAAGATATTATGATAGTTAAATGTTTGGAATAAATTATAAACAAACTATCTTCACATTTCATTATAGATAGGCAACTAAATTAAGCAAAAGCTATTTTATTTGTTTGTTGTCTGTTCTAGTTAGCATAAAACCTACCATTGCCTGCTTCTTCCATGTCTCAATGTTCTTTCTCTGCGCCTTTGTGAAATGATCCCAAACCTTCTTGTGCGATGCAGAAGTAAACACTTTCTCGATCTGAGTGACTTTATACAAGGACAATAACACAGGCGGTTAACATATTAAGAAAAAAAAGAAGTAAGGTTTTTATAAATCAGATATCTTTAGTTTTTGTAGGAAAATATATTACGCCATAGTATTGTGATAAATTTTATTTGAGTATTAAAATATACATTGATTTACATGTAATATTAAGAATAAATTAAAGCAATCAATTAGATTTAAATAAATAAATTACATACATTACAATTTTAACAAATAATGTAAAAGGTATAGAAATTATATAATTTTTTTAAAAAATTTAGATTTTAATGTTTAAGGAAATTTACTTAAAATGATAATTAATAATTATAATTTTGTATTAAAATTTAAAACTGATAATTTTTATTATCTTATTTCTTTCTCATCAACTTACCATCATAAGAATAATGTTTATGTAACTTGCTGGTCTTATTAAAAGAGCAGTAATTTGAACAGAAAATTATAAGAATTTTAGGGATAAAATTGGATTGTTTAAAAAAATTTTTTTTTTCTTACCACCATCAAAATACCTTTATTATAATTAAAACCTTGACCCCATACTTGACATCATACTTACCTTTAATATTTGGGAAGTAAAATAATAGTTTCTGAAATATAAATAACATTTTCAAATTGTTTGAAAATAGACTACAAAAATGTAGTYTCAACTTCCAATGTTCACAAAAATTCAACTCATTAACAATGGTTATTTTGTGCCTTAAGAGCATGCCACGCCCTCATGTGTTGTCTGTCTTACAAGTGTGTAACATAACAAATTTTACGCTCAGTCGATCACATTAGCTTGGTTAGCTTAAAATTTAGTGTGAATCTACCTATTATAAAAATTAAAGGCAAGATTATTATCCAAGACATCACATGGGCTTTTTATTATATTTTAATTTTAAAGCGAGTTATTAGTATTTTAAAATTGAAAATTGTTTTTATATCTTAAAATACCATAACTCATTTTAAAATTAAAATACATTAAAAATCCCATACAATGACCAAGATAATAATCTTGCCTTTAATTTTTATAAGAGGTCAATTCACTCTAAATTTTAAACGAACAGAGTTAAACGTGATCTGCTGAGTATAAAATTTGGTATGTTATACACTTGTAAGATGGAGACAACACATGCAGGTGTGGCGTCCTCAATTAAATCAGTATATATTTATTCATCATTACTTTAATACCATAGATTTACTAAATTTTATTCTTCAGTCATAAGCAATACTAACCTTGACAAATGCACAATATGAAATCATAATATTTATAATGTGAACCTTAAATTTAAGCTGAACCAAATAAAAAAAAACCAAATACCTGAATCTAATTATTATAAAAAAAGAAAATTATGAAACCTGTCATGCAAATAAAAATAGCTCTTATTGTAATTATGTTTTGTTTTTTTAGCACGTTACAGGCTATGTTATTTACTTTTTCTTCTCAGTTTTGACTCTTGTCATCAGTTGTCATTCTAACAAGGTCAATGGTTAGAAGTTCTCTTATAACCAAAATATASTAGTATATTATTATAATAAATAGAGTAATTATACTTACATTGTAATAAGATCGCTTGCATGCGTCGTTTTGTAAGGTCTTTGAGATTTTGTAGTTCTTCTTCAAATTGGTTTTTTTCTGACAGTAAACGTCGTACATGAGAATTGGTCGATTGAATTATCGAATAAAATATATTAACATTACGTTTGTTACAATCTCCCCGTTCTAACCACGTAATAACTACTTGTACAGCATTTAAAAATGATGAATCAGCTATAAAATAATAAGTATAAGTAGTTAATAATAAAAATTTTAATCAACTATAAAATCCTATGAATTAATTACCCTTAATTTCTTCACTAACAGATARAGCTTTAGCTTCAGTAAAATGGGGTATTAATGGAGGAGATGGAGGAGGATTTGATCGAGTTTGTTGTAAACGTCTTTCTTCGCGCATTAAATGTCTTTTTTTCATTTCCCATTCATACTGATCATCACGGGCTTGAGCATAATCTACATGTAAACGTGATGCAGATACTAGCTCTTGTCCTTTCATCACTAATCGATATCCTAAGTATTATATGTACAGTCATTAATATTAAAATTTATGAAATATAATATGTAAGATGAAGCTATTATATGATAAATAATTAAAAATAACGAATATCTGTTATTGTTAAAGCCTTAAAACTGATTAATTAACACAAGTCAAATATTTTACCTGAGAGTTCTAATGCAAGATCAACGGAGCACTCATTCTCAAAACGTATGTGACAAAATTTTCTATTACTCAAACGAATTGTCAATATTTCTCCATAGTTAGTAAAAATTGATTTCATTATATCTTCAGTAATGCTATCTGGCAAACCTCCAACAAATACAGTTCGACAGCCTGGGGGCCTTTCTCTAGAAGTTGGCGTCGGAGCGTTTGAAGGAGGTGGATACAGGGTGCACAGTTCTAGTTGTATAATTCGTTTATCTGTCTGAATAACATTGGAGTCTGGTGTTCTTGGTGTAGTATGATTAACAATCATTGAAGGGGGTGTTAGCATTCCACCCATGATACCATACTAAAAAAATTACAAATAAAACATYGATTTATAAAAAATGTAACTTTCTACTAACTTGTCCCATAAACATTGCAGAATCCATTACATTCATTGGGTTAATTAAATTAAATGGGTTAAATTGAGGCATAATTTCATTCCACAAAGGAGATGTTCTAACTGGTACCGGTGGTTTATTGGAAGAAATATTTGCATCAATAGGCAAATCTATTAGAGATGCTGGTTTATCCCCGTGAATGTCAGTGAATTGTGTATCACTGAAAATAATATTTAAATAATTAACTATATTATTAAAATTTAACAGCTTATTGTAAAATAATTGTCTATGGTAGGCAAAAACCTTCTAAGATTTCTAGCTCGTTCAACTATTCGTTCCCATTGCTCATCAGAATTAAGTTTTTGGGCATCTGGTTGATCCCATCGTCCTCTCTTATTTTCACTAGATCTATTTCGTTCGTCTATGTTTGCAGATTCTGTAATTTTTCTTCGAAAGACTGCATCATCTACAAAAATAAATTAAAAATATTGATCTACGTAAACAAACGGAATAAATAAAAATTGTCTTACAATATGAAGCCATTTTTCATAACACTTTATGAAGTGCAGAGAAAAAAGAAAATTTGTATTATTGAAGGGCAATTAAAGTAAATAAACATAGGTGTCAATGGATAATTTGAAAATTAGTTTGATCAAAATAAAATTAATTCAGTATGAACTTTGAATACGAAAGAACAAAATCAATAGTTTATAATGACAATTTTATAAAAACAATAAACTCCATAATCTTCATTAAATATTAATTGGTATAGTTAATAGTAATACAATTATAAACCATACTATAATAGTTAATCTATATTATTATTATAATTAATAATACATTAATACCTATCATTCTCAATCTTTTTGTTTCCACTTCTATACCTTAGACATATTATTATTATTATCAGAGAAGTACAGAACAGTATACCACCATAGACATATTATGATACATTGATACATACCAATATACTTTTTTATCACTCCACATGGAAGAAGAAGAGTTTTAATGTTGATAATAAGAAAATTGTTGTTAGTTTTTTATGAATCACGGTCCCGGGACCCGGACTCCCGGTCCAGTCAAAGTGCCCAGTGCCCAGTGGTTCAGTCGGTCCACCGAGGCTCCGATGTCCGTGTATTAGATGTATTATATTAATTATTTATAATTAGTATTCTTGTCTATGGTCCGTGTACCGTGTTATTAACCATAGAAAAGTTTTTCGATTAAAAATCAATTTTGATATAATATCATGTTTACGAAATTTACGAAACTACTAATTACTTAACTTTGAACGAGTCACAGTAGRATTGTTGGAGACATAAATATCTGATTCTTTATATTTTGTATTCTATGACTTGATCTGTGAACTCTTAACAACACTTGTACAGTAGTGTAATAGACGCGTACATAATTGTGGCTATATTTTTAGTTTAAATTAGAAATTATATARCTATTTAAATTATGTCTGTAAACACGTTTATCCGTTGGGAAAATGTAATGGACATTTTAACCCATTACGCTGAGAATAATAGTTTTATGGAAACATTTAAGCATACTGCTAATAATGAAAAAGTTAATCTCTGTATGCAAAATGATTTCATCAGGTACTCTCTTTTWTCACAATCGTTGTATTACAAGATCAATACATCATATTTACTATGTGGTTAATGTCTGTACCATAGGAACTGTTTGGAAAAATGGTTGGATGATCCAAAGTTTAATGACAGTCTAAAAAACTCTACCAAATCCAAAGAGATTCGACTTTTGGCTAATGAAGAGTTCAAAATGAATCGGCTGGAGTTGTGCTGTAAGCTTTACACCAAAGCGGCTCAGTTTGCTCCATTTAAAAGTATAGAATCAGCATTAGCGTTTTCTAACCGTTCAGCTATGTATCTGAGGTTAAACAAATATCAAGTATGTTTTTTTTGAAATTCAATGATAAATACTATACTGTTCCGTATAAATACTTWATATTATTCCAGGAATGTTTAAAAGATATTGATACCAGTCTTAATATATTGGAAAACTCAGATATTAATGAACAAGAAGTTAATAAAGGTCAATTAATTCTGAAATTGTTAAAACGTGAAATTGAATGTTTAATAGCTTTGAAACAATTTAAAACTGCTAAAACTAACTTGGAAAATATATTAGAACTATCAAAGAATGTGTATAAAATACCCTTAGAAGGTTAGAGGTATAACTAATATTTTATAATWCACACATTATGTATTATTAATYTTTTGATTAATTATTTTAATATAGATCAATTTATCAAGAAATGCAAAGTTTTGTCAGATTGTGATAAAAACTCTAATAATGCAGATATTGTTGAAAATTCTAATGAAACGCTTACAGAAGATCTAATAAAAAAAAAACTGTCTACAAATAAAATAACTCTTCCGTTTAAATCTCCTAAATTGAAGTTATGGTAATTTTTGTGATAGTTGACTATGTATTTGTATTTTGTAAACAGTTTAGTTAAGTAGGTAAATATACTCTAGACACTAATGTAAATACAAGTACATAATTATGTGTTACTAAGACATCACATGTACACGAAACCCAGTGGTATAATTAGGAA